GTGCAAAAGAAATGCACTATGTTTCCGCCCGGGATCGAACCGGGGACCTTGTGCGTGTGAAGCACACGTGATAACCACTACACTACGGAAACCACGTTTAAATAAATTTTATAACAACTTTAAATAGCAAATATCACATAATTTGCAATTCGGACACTGCCTAATATTTGCCAACGACAACGGCTGAGCGCAGACTGAGAAATCTGTGCGTCGGTCATCCTTACAGGACATCTGGCTCTCCAGGCGTAAAGAAGGGTTTAATTTATGACACCCTCAAGTGTTTCCTACTTTCTCTTCCTATTTCTGTATTTTTTAAAGGAATCGTAGGACCGTTCTGAACGCTTGAAGACTCTCGTAAAAAACAGATTTTCTCAAAAAAGCTCGATAAAATAAAAAATGAATTTTTCTTAGCTACCAAACTTATAGAAATTACAATCTAAATGGGTCACAGAATGAAGACAATTTTATTTTTGATAATCGATCATATATTTGACATAATTTTGTAAACACGTGACGAACATCGAACTTCAGTTTTAAAAGGGAACAAATGATGCAGTCACGAAGGCTAATAATTGGCTACTTATTTTTATCTCCCCATGGAAGGTTTGCAGACCATGGTAAAATATGTTATGAGTATATTTACAAAATTGTAATAAATTACGTACGAGAAGTGAATGAGTATGCGCTTGTACTAATTATTTAATATCATGCTTTCACACTACTAATTGTAAGTATCGTAAGGTGCCATCAAATGTTCATATGATATTCAAGTATAGCGAGTATTAAAATGATTGTTAAGAATTCGGATTCATTTCTCGGGAACACTTATCTTAATAATACTTTTAAGTATACGCATGCAAACAATGTTTTGATTGAGATTCAATGTCCTCGGTTCGATAAGTATACGTAACGTTGATTGCAACATCCGCCGTCTTACAATTATTATATTTAATACCGATCAGTAGTCGAATGAAATAAAATGATCTGAGTATTTTTCGAGATGTGAAATGATACCGGGTCAGTACACTAGAACTGATATAAATTAATTAAATCTAGATACTGTACAAAAATGAAAACAAGATCATTTTAAGAAGTTCACTTTTTCTTCTTGTCATAGTCGCTAGTTTTCTGTATTATCAATTTATTCCGTTGTCTAGTTACTTTGGTTGTAGGCCGACTGCTAGGTGCGATTTGTTTCAATTCTTGCTGAGAGACTTTGGCCGGGCTAGTCGCACGAGGCGGCGTCGGTCCTTTCAAAAGAGCTTCGACGTCTGCCAATCGTTTCCTCAACGCTCTGTTCTCGCGTTTGTACTTCGCGAGTTCGGAGTCCTTGTCCAATCTCTCGTGGCCCGAGCTGCTCGTCTCTTCCGCGAAATGTCTGAACATAAGATGCAATTTCTCCTCGTGTTCCCGCTGCATCAGAACTATCCTCCTCTCGGCTTCTAGTTTCGTCTGTTTCAGAGCGTTCGTCAACGTTTGTATCTGCCATTCTTGTGTTTCGATATGATTCTCCAATTCGGCCGTCTGAACTTCCAAATTCTTCGAGCTCTCCTTCAAATCGATCACCTTCAGGAAATATTTATAAAACAAGGTTCTCATCTCGCCGTCCGAGAGCTTCGCCAGTCTTTCCATTAACATCCTCTCGCCCTTTTCGCGCTGCGATTGATTCTCGTCGAATCCTTTACGACCGCAGATCATCTCGTTCTTATGCTCAATCATAGCGTCAATCGCTTCAATAGTTTCTCCACATTCCAGCAGTTTCCTTTCCTCTACAGTAGACAACGTCTTCTCTTTCTGGAATTTCTCGTCCAAATCGCACTTCTCGTCTACTAAACAGTCCCTCGTGCGTCGCAGGTTCCGGATCTCGTGACGCAGAGCTTCCTTCTCGTCTATATCTGCCGTCCGTTCCAGGTCCATCGATTTTTCTTTCAATACATGATCGAGGTGCGATATTCTCGCGCTAACGTCCAACAGATTCTTCTTCTTATCGGTATAATCTGCCTTCGGCTTCGGATTGTTCCTTTCGTCCTCGCTCTCCGACTGCATCTCCTTCAACTTCGATGCGGTCAGATTATACTTTTCCTCGAGCTCGCGTATTTTCTTCTGGTCCTCCGCCAGTTCATCTTCCAACTGTCTCTTACGATCCTCTTCCTTCTTTAATTGTTTCTTCAGCTTCTCCATTTGCTTCTTGGACGTGTTCAACGAACTCTCGAGTTCCAACACCTTCTTAGCGGAATCACCGGCGATCTGTTTTATCATCTCGATGTCTATCAACCTCTTCTCGTAATGTATAGCCATATTCTTATACAACTCGATCTCCTTTTTATGAGCAGGTTTTTCCTCCGTGTCTTTGTACATAGAAGCGTTCTCCGCCTGAGCCAGCTGGCTCCTCGTGTTATAATACTCCTCTTCTAATTTACTCCACTTCCGTTGAAACTTCTGTTTCGCGCTGGCCCGCGCGTCCGAATTCTTGATCATGTCCGCGATGAACTTCTCCTTTATTTTGATCGTCGTCTGCAATTCTTCTATACGTTTATGAGCACCGTCCAAATCTGACTGAATCTTCTTCACCTGACTCTGCTTCGCCTCGTTGTTCAACGCCAACGTTTTCAATTCCCTGATGGGTTCCGGCACGTCCGATGTCTTTAAAGCGTCGATCAATAAATCCGGCGAATTATCATTATGATTATCAACGTTTTCATTAAGTTCGTTCGCCTCTTTATGATTGTCTAAGTTAATTATACTAGTAAATGCTTTATTATCGAGTATTTGATTCTGGTAAGGCTTAAGACTATCGTTAAAAGCTAATACTTCGTTACACATCTCGGAGCCAGGTAACATCGAATTCCTCCTAGAATTTGGATTTCTAAGCGGAGTCGGTCTAACGACAGGGACATGATTGTTATTGATGTTCATCGATCTCGTTACAGCTGGAACAATCTCAACACTCGTTTCTCTGAACTCATCCTTCTTCGAATCGACTATTCTGTCCGTGTCTATTTTCAATTTATTCATATGCTCATCCAGTTTCTCTAAGAAATCCGGATTCTCCGAACTGATATCGCTGTGATCTTCCTCCTCCTCCTCTTCATCCTCGTCGTCATTTGTCTCAGACAGTTCGCTCTCAGAACTGGACGTGCAGTTCATGTCGATCTTCCTCTCGATCTGGTGGCCAGACTCGTCCGTCTTCTCGTCGGTCTCAGTCACCTCCTCGATCCTTTCCAACGATCTCCTCGCGTTCTCAGCGTACCCTTGCAAACTGGCAGTATCGTCGCTGGCGATGCACTCCTCGTACTCTTGTTTCATGCAAAGCCACTGCTCGATCTGGTCCTGTTCTGTGTGAGGGAGAATGTTGCTCGTCATTAGTTTAGTGAAAAGGCCTTCAGCGTTCGAAACCAATTTCGACCACTGTGCGGCAGCGAATTCTAATCGGAATATATCGGCGCTGGAGCTACGATCCCCTGATGTCGCCGATGTCATCGTGTCGTGCATCTCGTCTCCTGTTTGCTCGCTCTCCTCTTCTGTTGCGTGATTCTCATGATTATTGAGATGATATGGTGGCACGGCGTTTGTATACGGCGGATAAGACCGGAGGATGTCCAGTATTGCTTGATGATAAGGTGTGTAGTGCATCATTTTGTAAGTCTCTTGAATGGAACGATTTGTTACTCTTCAAAGAAATGTAAACACTTTTTTGTTTCTATTAATTCTTGCTTGTACCCATCGTTTCTAACCTGTTTCGATCCCCCAAGTTGTACGTTCGGATGACTTTATACAGCAGTTACTACATTTTGATTACGGTCGTTACTATATTTTCGCAGGTACGAGAATTCGTACAAGTTTTAACAAGGAACGTTCTTTCGAGATTCGGTGTTGAACAAATGACAGTCTAGCAGAAACGAGCAGAGGCTACTATGAAACTGCCAGCTGATGGCTAATGGTCATCACGCGATGATAATCAATACGATTGTCAATCGTCCACTTGACTTTACATGATTTTACATCAGAGATATATAAGTTTTTATTCGTATACGAGTAAGTCAAATGCGTCGAACAAGGAATCTCTCATTAACGAAAGTTGTATACCCAACAATTTTAAATGTCTCGCGCTTTCGCGCTTCTCGGACGATTCTAAAGTGCTCATTGCTTTCCATACAAAGCTTACGATCTTCTGAACAGGCTTGGATATTCCGAGTGACCAATCGCAACCTCGAGTGAATCCGACATTTCAAGATGGCGGCCAAAAGCGAGTTTCCCACCTAGGACGCCATGTTAGATTTCCGGCTGGATTCAGTACGTTTTCTGAGTGCGTAGGGAGAGGACCTGTGTAGAAGATCGTGCTCATCGTACTGAGGACAGATGTGGGTGTTTCACCAGCCGTTGTACGACAAAGTGCCGCGTATTTTTCTTCGCTTACATTAAAAATAAACGTAGTAAGAGTACGCGATAGTAGAAAACGTTCGAAGATGAAATAGCACGTCGCGTAGTACCGCTTCACGGCACATGCATTTAATTAGTAGTTCCGAGTTTCCTCAAGTGTTCAAACATAACCTTCGCACGCCTCAGCGCCCGAAAATCGCCAGATCTCGGTTTTAGTAAGTATACTGTTTCATAACCGAACTTTCGATTTCATTAATTATCGCCTAGATTCAAAGTTAGATTCCTTCCTTTAATTGGAGCAACAACCGCGAAAGTGTGTCTTTATGTACGTACACGGTTACTACATGCACACAGCCGTGCGTCAATTTTTACGTCATATAAGCGTATGATGCATCGAAATTACATGGAAAAAAAAAACAGTCTTCTGCAGTCCGTCCTATCTTTCGTTTTGCAATGTGTGCGAATCACGCGATAACGAGCATAGTTCTCAGGGCCATAAAGATTCCTTAGTAGACACTATAATTTATATTAATTTGCTAGAATAGAATTGGAAGCGTAAACATTACTAGGTCGTCACTCGTCGTTTAAATTCTTTGACGTACGCAAATAACAGTATGTGTTATCGATTCCGCAACGTGTATGTATATGGTAATCATCGTTCGTTACTCCAAAAAGTATTACAGCCGATAACCCGAGTGCGTATTGAAGATTGAATTGTCTGCACGAATTAGAAAGAATCGGACAATCATAAAAGATAATCCTCATGTTGCTCTCGTGACATTTTTAACGGTCGTCTACTTTGTTTATACCCCCATTAATTCAAGATTCAATAAAGTTATTGCAGTCACGTTCGAACACGCGATGCAATCCATCCCATGAGCCAAGGTTAGATCGCAGTTGACTCGGTGAAAAGTCACGGAAAAGGATGCATTCTGGGCACTGATTTTTCTAGCCACGGCTCTGTACAACTCATCGCGTTGCTAACGCTGTTACTTAACGTCCGTTTCAACTTTCTATTCGCACGCGAGTACTTTCGCACTCATTTACGCGCATTGTTCCGCGTTCAAACGTTATTCCATCAGTGATGAACTGACATCATTTTAAATACCTCTGGTATTAAGATTCGCCGTACGTACGAATATTAGACTGCTGATTTTTGGGTTGAATTTTCGTGATATCGATTCAAATAATGAAAACATGCAATTTGTATTTCTCTAATTTCCCCATCAAATTCTTTATATTTCCATGTTTTCTATAAATCTGTATAATCTGCAATCCAACATGTTTGCTTTTTGTCGTCCCTATTTTGTAACAATTGGTACCGAAATTGAATTACAGGAGAATGGAAAAGACGATGGGTTTTGCTAGTGGTAGTACGCAGCCTTCTGCACCTCCGCCTTCGGCTCCTCCATCCTACGAAGAAGCTGTCGAGAATGCAGCCCAAGTGCAACGCCAACAGAACATTCCACCGTATCCAGTGGGGCCATCATCCATGCCAGTACCAACTCGTAAGTACATGCGATCTCCATCGATTAAGAACTATCCACTTCTCATGATAATTAAATGTATTCGTTGAAATTTCAGACAATCTGCCATCGAATCAAACGACGGTGCCATATCCGCCGAACTATACGGGAGTACCGAGCACCGAAGCTCCCCAGCCACAGTACAACGCGAATCCGAGTACCGGGACTGTACCACCGTCGGAAGTTCGTGTCGTCTTTCAGCCAGTGATCTTCTCCCTCAGCCCGAATCCGACGAAAACCGTCTGCCCGACGTGCCACGCCAGTATCAAGACCACTACGATATCCGATCATCAACCTAGCGCCCATCTTTGCTGTATCGTCCTCTGCATACTCGGGTGAGTCACATTTAATGTCTACTTGTTGCATGCGAAAATACCCTGTTTTGTTTATGTTCTATATTATCTATTTTAACAAATGGAATGTGTTATATTAAGAGCAGCATTAACAATGCGCTTGTTCTTCTTGTTTCAATTTTATGCATTTATGAAATTATTTAATCTATAAATGCGTTGCATGCGATGCAAAAAGTATATAACATTTAAAAGCCAATTGCATATTGCAATGCTTAGGGGGGGTCATGTTTTCTAACATTTGTCTAAAAGAGTCTGCCGTTTTAAATGATAAATGAAATCAATTTTCTTAATTAACTGCCGTAAATCGTCTACTTGTTATAAAAATCTGCTGTCTACTAATTTCCTTCTGTTGGTTTTGCATTTCGCAAAATTCTCAAGATCTGTTTTCCTCGAGTTTTTTGGTAGATTCGGTTTTAATTGATTTATTTCGTTGTTAGTATGCACTTTTGGGTTGGATGTTTCCTAGTCACTTGGAGAATGCGTCCCTGCTTTGGTGTTGGCTTTGCTGGCCGTTCTGATTAAAGAGATTTGACCGATTTCCGTTTCGAATTTCAGATGTTGTCTCTGCTCATGCCTGCCGTATTGCATGAGCAACTTCATGAGTGTTCATCATTTTTGTCCGAAGTGTAAAAATTACATAGGTACGTGGAAGGGTTGAGCTAGCTGCGGCCAACTGGTTATTTGTATATTATTATCGCGGTCCTTTATATAATCAGACACAGTGTAACGTTACGGGGAGTAGTCGATATTTCCCTGCTTGTCACGTATTACGTTAAGAGATGAAACTATTCGATGAGATTGTTGTAGGTCGTATTATAAATATTATATATATATACATATATATATATATTATATCTATGACGCTTATTCCTCGCGAAATTCCGGTACGAATGCAACGTTGTAATGTGTGATAGCCAGAAGGATCGTAGACTTCGTGTTGACATGTAAGTGATAGGTGTGCTGGAGTGTGTGGATTTATAATTACTGTGAGGGTAATATCATAAAGATATTTTCGAGCTCGAATCTGCGAACGATATTACTCTCATACTGTTGCATTTGTCATATTCCATCTAGTTTTAGGATATCTTTTCTAGGAGAAGCATACAAAGTTCGTCTGGAACGCAAAGGAAAGGACGCAGAAATATTTGTTTCCTTTGCGTTACCGATTTCTCGATTGGATTGATTGTTCTATTGAGTTTTCTGTAAGCGAGAGAGAGAAGAGAGATTTGTATGAGTGAGCGTAGGATAAATGTCGATTCCATTTCCAACAATGTTCGTGTATTTTTATTTTTGTATTTTATTGGTGCTTCCGGGACTTTATGTGAAACGTGTTCCTGCATATTATGGGAACACGAAGTATCGTATGAAAAGTAATATTTTTATGGAAAGTATAAAGAATCTCGTTTGAGTGAAAATTTGGTTCACTGGCTTTCGTTTCCGTAATTCGATACTCGAAAAATTTTGATCGTTATCGGTGAACAATTTTTAGGGAGACTCTCGTGTAATGAGAAGCTTCGAATAAAACTAATGATTTTTGGATACCTTTGAACCTTCATTGATATTCCATAATATATTGAAAGGTACCGAGTGGACGAGAGCTGGTTAGTGTTTAGAGATTGTGACTTCAACGCGTCTCTCTGATTCCATTTGTACGCGCTGTACTGATTTCCTCGTCTTACGTACATTATTATAATCTCGTCGTATCAATTATAATTTTGAACAACACAATGCTGATGTTACTAAGTTTATTTACGCGTGATTTACACGACGAATTTCCAGCGTTTTACTATACATATACATGTATTTTAATGTACAATGTTTTTCTTGTACGTGTTTGACATAATAAATTATACTTTCGTTTTGAAGTGTATTTGACGAAAGAGAATAAGATTGAAAGTCGGTGGGAATAAATAAAGAAGTGTATTTGACGAAAGAGAGTAAGATTGAAAGTGGGGTGAGTGATAAACGCCCGATGCCTTATGAGCATCGTTTATTTCATTTTTATATGCATACAAGATATCGAACGAGTTCGAGTACATTGTTATTAATGAAAAAGATTGTAGTCGAAAAAATTACTACGTAACAATATGATTGATCGCTCTTCGGGAAGATATTGGTTCGAGCATAGAGTATTACAGTTATACTTTGATGGGCAGACAATTCGTATTTATTCTACGTAGTCGACGTTAGAAAATGTCCACGAACGTTATGCAAGAGCACTTGTGCGTCGCACGCACTTAATTTACTGTTAAGTTACAAATGAAACGTTACCTTCGAAGACGCTATCGAGAGTCGATTTTATAATAAAAAGGATAAAGAAGACGGGGATGCTGATTCAGAAATGAGCACGTCTCGCAATAACAGCACCCCGGCTTCCTAGTCTATCTACGGATTCTACGTGTAACGGTATTATACAAGATTTTCTAACAAGTTATCCTGAGGAAGATATTGCTGTTGAGCCACCGAGGAGTACTCCATGTCGATGGGTTTTGTATTATCGCGGAGCGCCGGAGCTTCGCAGAGGATGACAAACGTGCCTACTATCGAGGCTATCGTGAAGATCCATAGGAAGAGTCTGTCCAGGACCATCGCTACGAAACCCCAGTCTTGATCCTCCTGTCCTCCGGAATAAAGAATAAAATCACAAACTTGGACTCCACGTGCTTCGTCTTCTGTACGTACCGCGTTGAACTCGTCCTGTCGTTGTATGTGGTGTTGAATGAACATCACGTTGTGCAGAGCTTTTTCAAGCTCGAAGGGGTACTTCTTCTTGGGCGTCACGTCGCTCAGTGATTCGTCCAGGCCGGACATCACTGTGGGAAGCCCGTTGTATCCACCAAGGCCTCCCAAGAACCTGTTATGCGCCGTCGTCGTGTGCAGTCCATTGCACCCTGAAGACAATTAGAATCCGTGTATTTGATCTGATTATATGAAATTTTCTATGCATTTATGGAGAAATGGAAGAAAAATGTGAACCTAACTGGTAGTAAGTAATAATTGGCGATACCCACCACCGATTTGTTGGTGCCGAGCAGAATCAGGAGAAGAGATGATCGGTGACGATTTGCACGGCAGCTGCGACCGCGGCGTTGAATTTGCTCTTCTTCCCGGATCTACCTCTGCCATGTATCTTGTGCGCAGCAAGATCGATCAAGAGATCGTCGGGCACTCTCATTAGAAGCAGTTTCGGTAGTCTTCGTATGAAGATCTTACGGATCCACGGTGCCATTTTATGGGTGCTTGGCTTGCGGTAGTGAACGTTCAGTATAACGATCGTCACCACTACTGAGAACGCCACCAGGATCATCGTGAACAGTAAATACTTGCCCAGCAACGGTAACGCCAACGACGTAGATGGTATGATCTCGGATATCAGAAGGAAGAACATCGTCTGCGATAGCAGGATGTTGATGCAGAGAGCGATCTTCTCGCCCGAATCGGCCGGGAGATAAAACGCCAGCACTGATAAGTAAGAGATGCTCACGCAAGGCACGATCAAGTTCACTGTGTAGAACAATGTTTTACGGCGCAGCGTGATGTTGAAAAATATGTCCGGGTATGGCTCGTCGCAGCAGGGGTAGTACTTCTTGTGCCGTTCCGCAGGGACACCGAGGATGTCCCACTCGACACTTGGGTAGTACTCGCGCAGGTCGATACCCACGTCCACCTTGTCTCCCACTACACCTTGATTGATGTGCTTCAAATCGATCTATAAATGCCGATTTCTTGAATAGAATTCAGTCTTTTTGGAACATAGAAATATCTTCAAATTTTTAATTTAGTGCAAAGGAATTTTCGGTGAGGGAGAGTCACACCTTTCTTATTACTTATTAATTTTGATTGTATTAATGTAAAAAATGTACCTGTATACCGTCGTAAGTCCATGAGCCGAACTTCATGAAGCAGGTTTGTTGATCGAAGGGAAAGTATCGAACGTCGATCTCGCAGGAGGATTTGAAAATCGCCGGGGGTGTCCAAAGGACCTTCCCGGTGTAATGTAAAATCGCTTTAGTCATCGTGGTCACTCCGTATTCTCCGTCCGCACTGGAAATCATGTGACATAGAAAATTGAGTGGATTTCGTTTAAGGTCTCGTTTACGTACTTGTTGTAAAGTACGATGTCGGGGAGCCAAATGTGCTCGCTGGGTACGTAGAGTTCAGTGACGCCTCCGTACTCCGTTGGATCCCATTGGAACTTATGATCCTGCCATTCCTGTTATCAAATTTTCTCGTCGTTAATTCATTTTCATCATACGATCGCAAATATTATAAGATTTAATACAGCAATAATTTATGTATTAATTTAGTAATAATTAACTTCCAAAGGTTTAAAGTAGAATCAGTAATCAAAGAATGATCTTGATTACTCACGTGTTCGAGCCAAACGTTCGTCGTGAGAATTTGATCCTTCAGGTTCTGCAAATACTCGTAATTATTTCAATACTCAGTAATATCTTATTTAATCATTCATTGTACCTACGAGATCTATGAGTTGGGACAGGCGAAGTCCTAATTTGACAACGACGGTGTCGTTGTTGTTAGACACGGGGCGAATCAGTCGATTGTAATTCGATAGTAGGTCATCGTACAATCTCTTCGCGTCAGGATTGCCGTGGCATATCCTTGCGGAGAGAATTAATACGATCGCCTGCAGCAGCATTTTGAGTAAACGATGCTTAGCTAGTTTCGGCATTCGACTCCAATTGACATCCTGCGTTTCGTTACGTTAATTAAATTATTAATCACGGAGAGTAATGATCGATACGAGAGGTTCGATTAAATTCTGAATGATTAAATAAATCTTATTCCGGTAACTATTTTTTCTTTTTTATGATCGATTGACAAGTTATTTAAATAGTCGACGTCACTTCTCGTCGAGTTATAAAAAGATGAAGTTGCGTCGTATGAAACGAGTGGAAAAATTGTTATCTTCGAAGCCTTGTAACGTTTGTTAGAAATAGTATGACAGAACTTCACTGCACTTGAGGATTCCATTGATCATAGAAAATTTTACTCAACAGATATAAATTGATAGCAATTTATAGTCTCATTTAAAATGAGTAGATAAAAGAATGATTATTCTAGACTATAATTTCAACTAAAAAGACTTGTATTATAAAATCATCGGTCAATTTTGTTTGATAAAGTTCATGAATTTCATATGAATTCTATTACATGTCCGATAGTTCTTGAACATTGATACTTACTTGTGATCGGCGTCCGGTTCCGATTCGACGTGGCACTGTTTCTCGAATTGAATCTCTCGTTCTCTCGCGTATCTCATACTCTATCGCGACCTGCTCGTTCGAGTTTCCCGGCGATCGGGAACGCACCGCGGAGTTGCTCGCATCACTGGCGCGACCCGTTTCTAATCGCGGAACGCGGGACGAGCTTAGGACAGGAATGACATTGTGTACAGCCAATGGACCACTGGATGATGTTACGTGCATCTCGGATCCGCCGGGATCAATACGGTATTGCGCATGCACCGGGGCTCTGAATACGGGGGTGGCTGCGCGTTTTGCCGCCGCTCTATGGCGCAGGTTCTGCGCTGCGCTCGTAGCTGGGAAAAAAAGTACGCCGTTTCTGCGCGATCTCTTCGTCTTCTCTGCCCCTACGCCCTTTCGCATCCCTCGCTGTCCGACAGATCTCTCTTCCTCCCTCGGTCTCGTCGCTCGTACGTTCACCGGGTCAATCGGTACACAGTCGATGATATCAATCATCCAAACAATTTTTATATCTAACTTATTTCGTATATAAATTCGTCATCTGATCGTGAGAAAATTTCGCAATGTACATGAATTTTATGCAATAATAGAATTAGGATTGTTACTGTCCTTGTTTGTCCCTGTTTTGATCCGTCGTTTGTTCGTCGGGTTAATCGGTAGATAATCTCCACGTTTAATCAACCTTCCCAACAATTTTTATATTAATTGTACGATCAATCTCGTGAACTCTCAGAAAAATGTGGACATCTACCATTTCTTATGGATACGATTTAAGGATGTATTGGCTATACAGTTAATCCCAAAAGTGTATGCACTTTAGAAA